TATCCTTGTTGCCCAATGCTCAGTAGCGTGAAAACCATTGTTTCATACGTACAGATCCTGTCCCTTCCCCTCCAGTTTCTACATGTTTTACTCTCCCTTTGTTTCATAGCCTGTTGGTTGTGAAACTGAAGACACTTTGGGCTCACCAATCCATTTTATAAATGCTTTGGTGAACAGTGTGACCGTTATCAAAATTATTGTAGGAAAGTTGGAGGAGGGAGTTTATATTGTTTATATCTCAGCCTCTCATTTCCAACAGCAAAGCACTTAAAAAAGCACATTCAAAATGTTGGAAACATGCCTCTACCATCATGCTTAGCCCACCTTTCCTCTTCCTGCTCCGCCGTGGAGGTGGGGGAAATCAGGCTCTTCCATTCTGCACCCTCCCAACTGCACAATCAAGCTCATCTCAGGCTCAGCCCAACAGATGTCCAGGAAATGTAACCCATGCTCCTTAGAGGGCACGGCAGGCATTATTTGACACTGGCTCAGCCCACTGATGACTCACGGCCTCTAGTCTCAGCTCTCCCCTCACCAGAGAAAGCGTCACATCAAAGTGTTTCCTCCAGTCATGTATAGTCCTCCCCGTACTAGCAAATTTGTAATAAAAGATTCACCATTTTGTTACAAATTTATAACAGTATATTTTCTATTAGATCTATTTTATCCTAATTTGCAAGGAATCAAAATACATTTTTTCCATAATCTCAGAAGAGTACAGGAAGGTACTTTGAATTGTTAAACTGTACCTGAAATATGTAGCAAGAAATTCAAGTTAACGTTTTCTCTCTTTGCTTTGTTCTTGACCAATAGCGTCTCTGATCTTGGAGTGTCTGTTGAAGAGAGTTCCACTTGGGCTGCGACCGCCTAACTGCTTCTTCAGGGCTAGCAAGTTGGCTTGCCTTTGAAGTATGTAGGATGTGGCATTATTCTGGTAAGTGTCATGTTTAATAGATTTCATTTTTTATTTCTCTGATAAATTTGAGGATATGTAAAGCAATGGAATGTCTCATTACTCTCCCTGCTTTGTGGCCTTCTCCATCATGTTTTATTGGCAGTGATCGGACTTAGTTTTCTTTAAAACGACTCCACCAATTCATACGTTAAAGCTTATTTCTAACTTGTTCTGGACTTGTAGTTTCACTGTGGGTGCTCAAACTCCTTCACACCGATTAGATCTAACAATACAATTGTAAAGTAGTATTTACAATTCTGCCTGGAAGGCTTATATAAGATTTTAATCAGGGGGAATTTTTGTATAGGATAAAGTGATTTATGAAAGACTTCCTGGAATTCTGCTTGCGAAGGAGACATTAACTCATCTAGAATATTTTGCCAGAGATGGTAAGTAAAAATTGTTTGGAATCTCATTCCCTCTAGAAATGCTATTCTTAAATGTTGAAATTACAACCTGAATACATGCCATAGATGCTTATTGGGCACATAGGTGGACAACGGTAACATATGTGTGATTTTGCAATGGCTTTTGTTTGTTTAAATGTATGTGGTTTCCCAAAGACACCGTGGGCAGACACTATTATTGCATTATTTTCCTCTTTTTCCCCTCTCTAGCAATTTAGTTTATAAGCTGATGGTTCATACAGCCACATGTGTCTAACCTTAAAGTATGGGTGTTTTGAAAGGTTGTACATTGGCCCTTTTATTGTTATCTTAAAATATAGATGTGTTGTAGGCAGGTTGCACCAGGTAGAAATATATATTAACTATATTATAATTGAATACAAGAATGAATAACTTCTGTGTATCTCTTATGTGGAGAGTTAATTTCTATGGAAGCCACAAAACTCTGGATATTTTATAGGCTTTAGCCTAAAATATTAGAGTATGTTATGGATTTAAAATTTCTAAAGTCCTTGAAAAATAAAATTTAAATGAATTTTCCGTTGTTTTTGAGATTATTTGATAAGTGACTAAAAACCTGAACCCTTGTTGATTCTTTTATAGATTTAACAAATTGTTGTTGAGCATCTACTAAATGCCATCCAGTGTTCAGAGCCTTTGGAACAGTAGTGCATGAAACACAGGAAGCTCAAGCCTTGAACAAATTTACCAATAAGTAGGTACTGTCAGGTGGCACTATGTGCTGGGAATAAAAATACAGCAGGGTAAGGGAGCAGAGAGTGATTTCATGCTCTTTCTATAGGGTGACTTAAGCGGAGGCTGCAGGAAGGAAGGTAGAACTGTGTCCCACCAGGGGAAAGTTTTCCAGGTAAAGGGTAAAGAAACTACAAGAATGTGGAAGTAAGCTGTCTAGCTGGGATGCCATAGGAAGTAATGAGAAGCAGGGAAGAGAGAGCAGGGGAGCCAGAGGCAGACTGGATAGGGCCATGTGAAGAACTTCACGTTTCCGTGAATGCTCTTGAATTTCATTTTCAGATGCTCCACTTCTCCCTGATCACTGGTTGTATGACCAAGTTCTACTACGTTCTTTCTTGCAGGTCTGAGAACTCTCTGTGTTGCTTATAGAGATTCAATGAGAAGGAATATAAACAATGGTTGCAGAAGTATAAAAAAGCTAGTACGGGTTTATACAACAGAATTCAAAGAATGGACAAATGTTATGATAGTATGAAAAAGGTAACATTGCCCATATGTCCTCTGCATGCTAAGATAAATAAGTGAAGGAAATCCATTTATTAATATTTTTATATCTTAATGTTTAATTATTCAAACAGTAAAATTTTGTTTTTTTCTGCAAAAATATAAATCTGTTTTATCACACTGAAAATTCATAAAATGTCTTTATAAAATATTTCAAAATATTTTGTCTTCTGAATCATATTATACTCACTCGTAATCATTTTTTTATAACTTTTCCCATTTCGAAAGAATTACACATTCATTATAGAAAAACAAGGCGGCATAAAAATAGAATGATAATGAAAGTACAATATAATATAATGAATAATAATAGTAATGAATAGAATAGAATAATGGCCTTCTGTATTGTTGGGCTAAATGACCTCTTCTACTGTATAAATTTCCAATCTCTCCTCTTTTTTTCTATGTTTGTGTTGCATAGATAATATTCCATAGTATATATTTAACATGAACACTAATTTTTCCAATTAAAATTAGAATGTGCTGTGCAGACTGCTTGAATGATACATTTTTCACTTAATAAATTGAGAACTTTTTCATATTATTGAATATTCTTAACTGTTATCTTTGTCAGCCTAAATAACAGAGGGAGACTTTCTAAAAGAAAATGATATGTATATAATGAGTGAGATGTGCACCATCTTGGGGATGGTCATGCTGGAGACTCAGACTTGTGGGGGGAGGGGAGGAATGGGCATTTATTGAACCTTAAAATCTGTACCCCCATAATATGCCGAAATAAAAAAAAAGAAACTGATAGGTTCATAAAACTGATAATCATGATCAAGCAGAACAAAAACAATGACATGAAATTAAGTAGTTAATAAAGATAATGTTTTTATTACAAAAAAAGAAGAAAGAAAGAAAATGATATGTATTCAGGAATAGGCCTCTGCAAGGAAACTGCATGTGCGATAGTGGACTATGTGTGTGTATTCAGGGAGGTAAGGCAAATCTTGTTAAAGAAAACAGTGAGGAAGATTGCATAATGATTTTGAGATAATTATTCTTGGCTACAAGGATCAATAACAAGGGTGATGCCAGTCTGAGGTTGTACAGGCAGCTGGTGGGCAGAGGCTCCTGCAGAAGTAATTTTTTATGAAAGGTTGTGAGGGCCTTTGTGCAAGGGTTGTAGTTTTTTGTGGTCCTTCGTGATAGTTTTTATGAGGTATTTATGCATGAGAACCTACCTGTATGGCCGTTCCTAGCATGATTTGTCAGGGTTTCTTATTAAAACACGGTGACTCCATTTTGATTGTGACAATTTTCATATTTCCCTCTTTTGATCAAGATGTTTCCCCAAAGCATCGCTGATGACTGCACTTACAGTTCGGTTTTGATGTCTATTGGTGCCAGGATGGATCTGCCCCGGGTTGCTGGTCCGATCCCACATGGGAGGAAATAAATGGCAGCTGGGAGTCAGTGTCAAAACCTTTTAAACCAAATTTGAGTAACAAGGGAGGTTTCAAGGAAGTGGCTCTCAGGCTCAGTCTACCTGGAGTCCATTATAAAGTTCAATTTTGTCTGCCTGGTAGAGGTGATGGTTATCATCTCAAAGAGATGGGCCACTATTATTCTATTGGGAGTTGTACTTCTGCAACAATTTAACAAGTAACAGATACAAAATTTAAAGAGGGAAATATAAACTACAGTTAATAGTAACTTGATAATCCTAGCTTGGATAATAGTTTTCAGCCTTGAACTGAGGCTTAAAGGTAACCCATCTATTGAATAACTCAAATGACAATTATCCCCTGAAGTGAAAAAAAATATAGTCACTAAGAGAAGTAAGAGTCTCCTTGGTATATGAAGTCTTGTTCTGACATCTTGGGAAAATTATATACAGAGTGAAAACATCCTCTGATTTTGGTTTGATGTTTAAATGTCTCTGATTATGGCATCAGGCAATTCAGTGCACTTTTAGTGTGGCCTGTACATCAGACATGAGACTTGTTCCTTCCAAATTGTTTAGTTTTAGCTTATAGGGCTGTAGGAACAGGGAGTTTTCTGTTTTTGGTAATTCCATGGAAGAAAATTAGGTTGGAAAAAATACAGGATCTAGTAAAATCTCTCCGTAGATCACAAGAACTTGAAAAGAATGCACAGAGGTATAATTTAACAACAGGTATATTATAGCATTTCTGTGGAAACATAACTTTTTTGCTCTCTACATTTTTGACCACATAGGAATACCAGATATAAAAATATCCTGAAGCTAGGAAGCCAAACCAAAACAGATTTTAGATATTAATCATAGTCTTAAAGTTCCTGGGCCTGCCAGGAAATGACCATTTCTACTCACCCACCGTAAGCTGGGGAATATTGAAATCAAGCATTCTATGCACACTCTCAACTATGACATTGCAGTCCAAAGCCCTGGTAATACAATCAGTTATTTTAATTGTTTCCTATTATGAAGACAGGGCATATTTTTATTGAACTCATACAAATGGCCATATTGTCATAAATAAGAAGAATACTCATGAATAGTTTTAGAATTTTGAAGCGATTCATTAGGGGAAAAAAGCAAATGCTTCCATCTCTCTCCAAAAAAAGAATACTTACCAAGGGCTGTAAATGATAGATAGATTAGGAGAAAATAAACCCCCTCGAATCTTGAAAATAAAAGATTTAAGTAAAGAAACGATAATGTTTGAAATAAAAGTTATAAAAATGATTTTCATTAGCTCGGCTCACGTAATTAATTTATATTCTGCTCCATCTTGATTCATGGTTTCATGAATTCATCAGTTCCTTCATTAAATTTCTGAAAAAATTCTATTTATTCCATTAATCTAAAGTAATGAGAAATCTGCATTTAAGGGTACTTATTAGTGTTTTTCATGAATCTGATTGCAGGTGCCTCAGGGAAAAGGCAAAACTATGAATGACAGAGGCTTAGAATAACCAAGGTTAAAAGTCTGATGGAAGTTCCATATGATCCACAATTGACAAGGAAATGTGGTGGTTTTTGTGACATACAAATGGTAAGCAGAATTATGACTGATGTCATATTAGATTTCTAAGAGTTTTATATAATTTTAGAACATCCGTATCAGTAACATAGCCCTAAATTTAAATGAAAGAAGACCTGGTATCATTTATCATTTAGCAATGTCTCCCATCTAACTTACCAGATCAACTTATTTATGTCAAATCTACCCTTCCTTGGTGTGAGTGAACAGAAGGGACATCACTTGTTGACCCCGGTCAGATATGATGAGCAGCATTTACTTGTGTTCTTTTGTCATCTCTCTTTTGCCCAGTGACCCAAACAGACAATATAATGAACTGGATTTTTACATTTATTATGTCCTACTGATTGCTCACTTTTACCATGATAGCCCTTAGCATATTACTCATGGTCATTTCAAATTTTTCATCTGATAATCGCAAAGTCTTTGCTGTACCTGAATCTGTTTCTGATGTTGGCTTTGTCCCTTTAGATGTGATGTTTGCCTTTTAATGACAGCCAGACAGGGTATATGAGGGAAAGCAATGAGGTAAATAGACCTTTACTGTGATATTTGATGTTTATCTGGCTAGAAATTAGGCTGTGTTAACTGTTTGCAGTAGCTGTGGTATCAGAGGTTAAAATTTTAGCTAGTGTCTTTTTTTTTTTTGTCTTGTCCATTGTCTTGGAGTTTCCCAGGAAACTGTTTCCTTCCTAACAGTGTCTGAGACTTGTACTTCTTTCATCTCAAATCCCTTTTTTGTTTTTAAATTTTTTATTTCAAATTTTAAGGGGGAATAAATGTTTTTGGTTATATGGATAGCTTTTGTTGTTAATTTTTTTTACATATGATTGATTGATTTTATTTCAGCATATTAGGGGATACAAATGCTTAGGTTACGTATATTTACCTTGCCCTTCCCCCCGAGTCAGAGCTTCAAGCGTGCCCATCCCCCAGACAGTGCACATCGCACTCATTATGTATGTATATACCCGTCCCCTTCTCCCCACTCCTATCTACCGGACGCCTATTGAATGTTATTCCTATATATGCCCTTAGGTGTGGATCAGTTAAAACCGGTTTGATAGTGAGTATATATGGTGCATATTTTTCCATTTTTGGCATACTTCACTTAGTAGAATGGGTTGTAGCTCCATCCAGGAAAATACAAGAGGTGTGCTATATCACCATTGTTTCTTATAGGTGATTAGTACTCCATGGTATACATATACCACATTTTATTAATCCATTCATGTATTGATGGGCACTTGGGTTATTTCCACATCTTTGCAATTATGAATTGTGCTGCTATAAACATTCAAGTGCAGATGTCTTTTTTATAAAATGTCTTTTGTTCTTTGGGGTAGATGCCCAGTAATGGGATTGCTGGATCAAATGGTAGATCTACTTGTATCTCTTTAAGGTATCTCCGTATTGCTTTCCACCGAGGTTGCACTAGTTTGCAGTCCTACCAGCAGTGTATGAATGTTTCCATCTCTCTCAATCCATGCCAACATCTATTGTTTTGGGACTTTTGATAAAGGTCATTCTCACCTGAGATAAGTGATATCACATTGTGCTTTTGATTTGCATTTCACTGATGATTAGGGATGTGAGCATTTTCTCATGTTTGTTGGCCATTATTCTGTATTCTTTGGAAAAGTTTCTGTTCATGTCCTTTGCCCACTTTTTGATAGGGTTGTTTGATTTTTTGTCTTGCTGATTTTCCAGAGTTCTGAATAGATTCTAGTTATTAGCCTTTTATCAGATGTGTAACATGCGAATCTTCTCCCATTCTTTAGGTTGTCTGTTGCCCTCGTGATAGTTTCTTTGGCTATGCAGAAGCTTTTTTGTTTGATCAGGTTCCATTTATTTATTTTCGTTGTTGCTGTGATTGCCTTTGGGGTCTTGTTCATAAATTCATTTCCTAGGCCAATGTCTAGAAGAGTATTTCCAATGTTTTCCTCTAGAATTCTTATAGTTTCATTTCTTTGGTTTAAGTCTGTTATCCAGTGTGAGTTG